AAGAAGTTTTGCGGAATGTGAAATTAACTGAGTATAGAAATAAGACAAAGAATTTTGAAGCATGGGCAGAGTTCGCCGCAGAAACCGGTTTTGGCGATCCTGCTTCTCATGTGTTGACAACTGGGAAGTTAGCAACCAAAGTAAAAGTAACTATAGCTCAAAATTGGTAGGTGTGGCTGGGTTGGGATTTGAATCAGGATAAAGCAGGATTGTAGCAGCCCAAGCAGGATCGTATTTTATAATTCCTGCTTTCAATGAGTTGCTAACTTCCCCGATCTTAAATTTTATCTTGTTCAAAGATACTGAACAATTGTTTTATAATCAATATTTTACGCCTTTTTTGCAATATTATAACACCGTGTATTTTTAAATATATTTTCTAAAGTATTTAGCAACGACAATGATGAATGTGTTGTGCTATTTTTGTCAATTTGGAAAATGTCTTACGCAAGTACATACATATGTAAAACTTCTAAAATAGTACTAAGTTATCAGATACTAAATGCGATGACATTATTTACTTAACTAATAATGAGGGTAATTTAGTTTGTAAATTAAATTTTATTTACACCTTACAGCGATTCTCGATTATTGTAATTACAATCAAAAGTATTGTGCAAGTTTTTTTAATGTTTACTTGAATAAAACAATAAAAAAACTACTTATAACATTAACAGGATCTATGTTATTCTTAATTATATTGTAATATATGGTTATATTAACTATTTACTAATAATTTAATATTGCAATATACATAGAGAACAACAGAGGTGCCTGGCGGCAACACTTTCTGCTCTTTACTCCTGTTGGCGAATCAGTTTCCTTACTCCTACCATTATTGACAACGATAAACCCTCAACCTATTCATAAAAATGTATATAGAAGTATTTTCTTCCTCTATTAAGTATCTGATTTCTTAGTGGAGAACATACCAAGAATGTACAACTTTGAGAAAATCCTCACTGTAGTATTGAGCTACAAAATGAAGCTAAAAACCATACCATATAATTCTAAGTAAAAAAGTGCTTTGGAAATGTTTGCACAAAAATACAAAATTTTCCATAGCAAAAGAGAAACAGCAATTTGCGATTTGTTAAAAATGCACATTTTTGAAAAACACCCCGTAATCGGTAACACGGTAAACGGTAACAGATATTGTTGTGCGGTTTCCACCGTCAAGTTTTGGATAAAAATTGAGCTCCAGACATCGATATTAGTTTTCGTCTGCTATCGAAAAGGGTGTCTCCGTTTAAAAGCGTCCAATTTGACCCACCCTGTACTGTGATATAAGTGAACGGACTCTAAGAAGAAGATTAAATGAAGAAAGTCTTATGTCAAGACGGCCTGCTTTGGGATAACAACTTAGTTGGTCTGTTGACTAGGATTAAAAGCATAGACATCCCATACAGCACGTCCAAATAAAATTACGTTTCTACAAGGGAGACACATGAGAAACCAAATATGTTAAAGTGAACCTAAGTGTTCATCTAGTTCTAACATATACATATGAGATACACGCAGGTTTATATTGATAGAATTGTGTGATAGAGTGTTTACTAGTTGTATACCGTATGCACTCAAGATTCTAAAGAGTTTTTTGTAACGTAACAAATAATTATTAAAATGATGAAATCTTACGTCGGTATATGAGACATACAATGTATATGTCATATGTATGTGTGATACTTCGTATCATAGTTGTGCCTTGTAAAAATGTGACGTATACACATAATATAAACTTCTATATAGACACTTTGTAATAGTGTACTGTTGTGTCTACATTCTAGCATGAAATGAAGGTGTGCGCACGCGCGGATAGCCTTAGCGTAGACACACCGACCAAGTGTATCTTATGTTTGTGCTTATGTGTTTTCTCTCCTTTCCCTTTCTAGGAGTGGTATGTGTTAGCAGCCATTATTGTTTTATCATTCGGAAGCTCTATATAAATGTTCTGTTTGTGTGTAGTTTAAAAGAGATTTTAAGGTAAGCACAAGTTTTTAATTACTTTGTTACACCTTCCTAAGAGTATTATTAATATTATAGCAGCGACTCTTCCCTTACTCGATACCCAATTTACCAAATTTTGACTCCAGTGAATGAAAACTCCAAATATTCTCGTATAATGATAAAGAGGTTAGCTCTACAATATATTTTTTTTTTAATTTGGAAATAATAAAAATCTAAATGGACCAGAGAAAGAAAGATTTAAACACTTCAAAGAACTTCTTACACTGATATTCGGTAAGTTATTGATGGATCAATATACAGGTATGTTTAATATTCAATAATCAGTTTCATATAAAATTTAAGGGTGAGATTGTTAATCTCGATGAATGAGTATGCTAACAAACCAACTGCTTGGAGGGTAAAGAAGAGAAAAAAATGACTAAATGAGGTCCACCAAATCGTGGCGATATACCAGTGTCGACCAGTGTTTGCCATTTTAGTATGTTGTTATACTAGGTACTTATATTTTTAATACATTTTGATACAAATTCTGTTCTTTTACAGTGTTTTCTTACTTCTGGTTTCTGCAGTGTAAATAATTATTATTATTGTGTTATTTGTGCTATTGCGTTCCATGATATAAAGAAATATAAGAATTTTATTTTTAACCACTTAATCCATTTTATGGAAGAAAAATGGTACATTTAATACAAAACAAAAATGGAACAATTTTAAGGCTACTTCTCTTGAACTTACGATCGAGATACTTTTGGAAAATACGAAGTTTTGCCTTCCTAATTTTCGTTCTAAAAAGATATAATTGGTATCATTGAATAAATATTTCTTAAAAAGAACGAAAAGTTAGGCATCAAAACATGTATTATTTCCTAAATTCGTTCATAAGAAGTAGTTTTATCTAGCTATAAGATAAATACGAAGCAAAATACATACGTATACACGCGGTAGTCACAACTGCAATGTGTAAACAGAGTTTGAACGTAATATACAAGCACTGTGTATCCACGGCACACTGTGTATCCCTTACTTTGTGTATACGTAAATGCTATACTGTGGCTACATTGTGAGGCGGACGTTTAACCTTTGTGCATACGTGTTGAACTAAAATGTGTAAACGTAGCACATTTACATCGGGGGAATTGTGTCACCCTGTGTCTACATCTAATAATGTAAACACGTCGTAAATGTGATTTAATGTGCTGTATGGGATAGTTTTTATGTAAAAATTACGAAAAAAATGTTAGCGTCTTCTTCAAAAGCGAATATATCCAACAAAAATAAAGCTATTGAGATGAACTAAAAAATAAATTACCGAGAAATGATATAGATTTCTAAATTCCTTGCTGTCTTGATAATATATTCCACAGGGTGTTTCAAACTTTTACCAAAATATCAACATTTTGTTTTCCATCGTATAATCGACAGATTTTTTTATTTTTAATTTAGAAAGAGATACTAAAAAGTCAAATAATTAAAAAATCATCAAAATTCTCTAACCAGAATAAAATATATTAAACTATAAAATACATCAACATTTTAAGGTGTCGTTTTTCGTGCCGGTGAATATATTTAAAGAACTTATTATTTACATCTTATTTACATTATCTTTCTTAGTTAAGTTAGATGTTAGTATAATTCATTATCTTTCTTAGATAAGTTAGATGTTAGTATAACCAGCTTTGCCGCTATTGCTGGACACGTAAAAATATTGGTGCTGCCAAAGGATTACCCAGAGGCTGCACTGACCACCGACCGGCAAACGGCTCTAGAAGAGGCGATACTGGATGAAGTAGTGGCGACAGGATTGCAGCGGATGCAGCGCAACGATCCGCAAAATGTGGATCAGCTGCGTGTTGCGGGGATACATTTTGAGCGGGCATGCTCCTCATAGATTGTGTATTTCAAGGATCGGCGGATTGGTTGGTGGAAACTGCACCTAAACTTAAGAATTGACAGGGGTCGCGACTGATTGCGGTGAAGGGAGAAAGCATCCCAAAAGAGGCGACCATCACGGACTTTCTGCCGAGGAGTAAAGGAAAAGAGACCGTGTCCAGGCTCAAAACTCCAAATAGGAATTGACATCAAATCAAAGGAGGCAATAGAAAAAGAAGGATATATAATCTGTTCTATATTCGGGACAACACCTGTATCAGGTCTAAAGAGAGACCAAGTTAAAGAAGTAGAGAAAATTGGATTCTCCAGCATCCACCTCACGGATACCTCAGCCAGAGACAAGCTCTTTGACTGTGAAGGACACGGATGGGCAAATCCCAACCGTGGAAGGGTGGTATATATACACAATCCTCATATATGATAGGTTATAGACTGTATGATAAGTTATAACTCAGGAAAGGGGGACACAATAGATATTTAAGATCGCAGTGATTAATCCTCCCTCCCACTCATTCAACAGTATTGACAGATAAGTTTTTCTAGCTGTCCAAGGTATCACATTTTAAAACTGTCTATCATACACCTTCATGCACATTCCCGATGATTTGAATAAAATAAAGAAAACGAAACCAGCAGAGAGAAACATAAGCAGGCATTGGTCAGAAACGAATGTTCAAACACTCGTCAGAACAGCAAAACGAGAAGAATTCGTTTTGGTTATCACCAATTTTTTTGAGAAAAGGCACCTAAAGAAAAGGATTATTTACAACATAGGTTCAGAGATACTATTCGTCTCTACACATCCATTCCTCAATTAGGGCTCCGAACACAAAAAGATGCTATTAAAGAACTCTTAATTAAACTCAACTACAGAGGACTCTATTGTAAAATAATTCGAATTACTCCTTTTTTACAAGCAATCTTTATTCCTTAATTCATCAGGAAACGCATGATTTCCATCGACTTCATTGACATCTCCTCCATCAGGACCCCGACCAATCAACGTAGGTTCGGACCCAGCATCCACCACCGCGCATCCATCCCTTACTTAAGGGCTCGGAACACGTTGGCCCCAGGGTGGGGGTGTCCTATAAACCAGACCTCGCCGGTCCCAAAACAGCCAGTTGCATGTCGGACTCGGTAGAGCGCGTCTCGTGTGTATCGTCCGGTCCCCTTTACCTCTACAACACGCCGTCAGCGTAATCTCCTTACTACGCTAGCATCGTCGCTCGTTACAGGTGAAAGAAGGCTACGCGTGTCGAAGCAGCCCCGGTGTGATATCGGACTTTGGTGGTGTTCCCTTCGCCGATGCTGCCGCATCCTTGGCTACGTCATGCGGATCGAGATACAGGTAAGAGAGAGATGGCGTGGAGCGAGACGTGGCGGTGGTTTCTTTTGATCTCTGACTGTCGGCGAAGAACAGGTGCAGGGGCAGTGATGGCTCAAAGGAGCGCGCCGGCCACGCCAGAGACGGAGGGATTTTTTGTGTTTGTGTTTTGTTGGTTTTTTCTTCGCTCGATTCGTCGTCGTCGTCGATGGGGAATTGTTATGCGCCGAAGATTGATAGTAATAATAAATCGAAGAATTCTGTTTTGTTCGGTATTGGCTAACTTTATGGTTTGATGTTATTGATAAGTCGGCCTTTTAAAGATATCAAGTCTTGCAATTTGATCGTTACCGTAACATCAATTGAAAGTATCTAATTTTTTTAACAAATAGTCGGATAATATAATCAATCTAATACTAGTATAAAAAATCCTCTACTAAACGAATGATATTTTTGTAAAATTGATGAAACCAAGATATGCGGAATTGACCTAACCAAACCAAGCAATATTGTTACAGATTGGTAAATATTATTTCGTGAAGATAGAGACTTTTAAAGATACTAAATAGAAGTATATGTCGTATGGAGGACATGTATGTGAGAAGCAGATTTTCTAGATGCTTTTTGGGTCCATTTTTTCGAATTTTCGCAAACAAAGAAAAACTGCGACGCTTTTTGGAAGAAACTTATTTTTCTGCTACCACGCCACGGTCCGTATCCCCAACTACATGGTCATTTAAGTAGTATTATTCAAAAAATAGACAAGTTGTAATACAAAAAAACTCTTCATCTGGCAATGATAAACAAAGAGCAGTATGTCCACAGCACACAAGGACATACTTCTGTTTGTTCGTCTACCGCCAATGGGCATAGAGCACATAGAAAAAAAAAACACGTCGTTTCTGGCATCGTATTGTAACTCTTTGTATGTAGTTTGCAATGTTTGACTGAAAATCTTAAAAAGTCTAAAAATCTTAACAAAATACATTTAGTAAGTCTGATCCTCATACATATTTCTCGCTAAAATTAAGGGTTGCCCGGATATTTGGTCAAGATTTGATAACTATATAGGTATCCCATCTTCACTACTTAAACCATGAAAATCCCTATACTAAATCCGTTATGTAAACGAGAAATTAATATTTAGTCATAGAAATGGCAAATTATCTGAAACAATCATAATTTCCTGAAATCGCCAATCAAAATATATAGGATTTAAATACTTCAACTCTATAAAAACAGATAGTTTTCGTTGTTTTTTAAACTGAATTGTGTATTTTCATTGTTAATATGGTGACAGTAAATGATATACATATATTTTTAAAAAATCAATTACCTACATGACCCAAAAATATTGACTTAAGTAATCAGTTTTTGCAAAAAAACCATATAATTACGATTGCTAGTGCATAAATTACTTTTGATCCAAAGCCACTGAGAAATTGATTGATGAATTTACTGAATTCATGAATTTTACAGATCTGGTCAAATTGGCTGAATTGGTAAAATTTTCTGAATTAGTGCCACTCATAGACTTGGTGAAATTAACTGTTTTGGTAGAATTGAATAACCTGGTGAAACTGACTAAATTTGTAAAATTGGCCGATTATTGCAATGGATTGAATTAACGAAAATGATGGTAAAATTGAATGATTTGGTACAATTGATTGAGATGACATAATATTTATGTATCTGGAAAAAATAATTAAAAAATATTTTTGGTGTGAAATGTAATAACTTTTCTTAATGAATTAATAGTGCCACATAAACATAAGAACAAGTTTCCCTATATGATTTAATATTTACTTACACAGTATCATAATTAATTACTAATAGATTTAAGTTTGTTTGTCACAGTTTTTAATTTTATTACTATAGAAAAATGCAAAAATTTATACCCGTTGTAACGCAATAATAAGCAGACTTATTACAGATGAGGATTGGAAACTTTGGTGCTACAACAGCAAAATAAAACACTAATTCACCACAATACACCAAAACACATTACTTTTGCACTGGACTCGCGTTTTGATAACAGATGATTAATCATCTGCTGATAATGCTGACATGGTTAGTGAAACGCGCGTCTAGTGCAAAAGTAAAGTGTTTTGGTGTATTATGGTAAATTAGAGTTTTATTTTGTTTTTTAAGCAGTCTTATGCATTAAGTATATTACAGGGTGGCCCATCGAAAACGTTCCGCAAGGCATAACGGCCAGGGCAATTTTTTTTGAGAAAATTCAAAAACACGTCAATTTTGTTTGTGAGGGGGACAACTTTTGCCCCAAAAATTATTGCAAAATCTTCAATCCTCTAAGCGGGGGTGTCATCCCCCAATTTTTTTCTAATGGGAAGGGGGGCCAAGTGGCGCCGCAATGAAAAGAGCTTTCTATTATCTATATTTCTGCGCCTCGTTTTTGAAAATCGGTCGAGTCATTGAGAAAATATGAAGGATTGAAATTTGAAAAGTTTATTTAAACATTTAGGATCAGAGTAAATGATAAGGATAAATTCCTTCGACCAATTTGCTGTTTTTTCTTATTATTTCTAGATGTTTACGCATTTTTTCACTTGCCACAAGGTTGAACGATCAGGTGCGGTAGTTGCTAGATAGCTGTTCTGTGTCTTGTACGTTGAAGTTCTTCTCAATATCGTTAAACTGACCCGCAATAGAATTTCCAAAAATATCAGCCCACACGTTCAATTTCTGAGGGTTTTGTGTGTGCACCTCGTGAAAAACTCTGGGGTTGTCCTCAGCCCAGTACTACACCGTTCGAAAATTTAACACACCGTTCGATTAACTACACCGTTCGAAAAGAAAGTACACTCATCCGAAAAACACACATTAAATAGGAAATTATCTCATTCGCTCCTCGTTCACTCATAGTTTCACAAAATTGCAAGCGATGATCAAAATCGTCTACGTTGAGGTCTTGTACCAACTGAATTTTGTACGGGTGGAACTTGTGTTTTTTTAATATCCTTTGGACACTTGTACGATTCACGCCGGTCTCATTGGCTAATTTTCTTGTACTCAGCTATCCATGGCAACTTGGCTCAATACGAATACCTCCATAGCTTCATTTACTACAGGATTTTCCCTCTGTCTCTTTTTATTCATAATGGAACAAGTTTCGCGAAATTTTGCTACTAACTCGCGAACAATTTTGCGATAAAGTTTTTTGTCAGGATGGCGTTCATTGAATATCTGCGCAACCCGATTGCCATATTCACTATTTTTAAAATAAAGTTCGATTATTTCCACTTTTTCTGCAAGTGAGTATACCATAATTGTTAAAAAGTTTAACGATATTGAGAAGAACTTCAACGCATAAGTCACAGAACAGCTATCTATAGCAACTACCGCACCTGATCGTTCAACATTGTGGCAAGTGAAAAAATGCGTAAACATCTAGAAATAATAAGAAAAAACAGCAAATTGGTCGAAGGTATTTATCCTTATTATTTACTTTGATAAATGTTTAAATAAACTTTTCAAATTTCAATCTTTCATATTTTCTCAATGATTCGACCGATTTTCAAAAACGAAGCGGGAAAGTATAGAGAATAGAAAGCTTTTCATTGCGGTACCACTTGACCCCCCTTCCCATTTAAAAAAAAAATTTGGAAATGACACCCCCACTTAGAGGGTTGAAGATTTTGCAATCATTTTTGGGGCAAAAGTTGTCCCGCTCACAAACAAAATTGACGTGTTTTTGAATTTTCTGAAAAAAAAATTACTCTGGCCGTTATGCCTTGCGGAACGTTTTCGATGGGCCACCCTGTATTATATGTGTGTATACAATTACGAATCAACGGTACCAAGTTCCAATGCGTTACTTTCAATCCATACTGTGCTACAAATGCATGATATTAAACTCTTAATAGAAAATATCCAGTCGACACTTTTTTAGTTTTAAAATATGTAGCACCTCTAATAATTTTACCCTCAAAATTTTATTCGAATCGCTAGAAGCCGTACCCCCTGTATCTACGGAACAAAGCAGAATCGGACCTATGTTGATATGAAAAATAAATCTTGTTTTTACAAGAGGAATATCATCACGAGGGATGGCACAAATTTTTTAAAAACCCTGTAGTGTATTAGTATTCCTGGTTTTGAAAAGGACATTAGTATAAATAATTTTCAGTTTAACATTTTCCAAAAAATACATAATTTGCCATTTAATAATTTTGAGTGATTTGATGAGCATTAAATATACAGAAAATTTAGTTTAATGATGATTAAAAACACAAATAAACCTTACAAAATAATAAATATTAATAATAATAATAAACCTTAATAAACAAAGGTATCTTTATGTAAATACAAGATGTAAACAAAAAGTCAGATTGCTACTTATGTATTTATTAACAAAAATCTTAGTGAAGATGATATAATATGAGACTAATTATAGATTATAGATTTAACTTTATAAAGTTTTTTTCCCAAATTTTTATTGTTTAAAGATTTTTATTTTTACTATTGGTATATTTATTTGTTTCTGTATCCATAATTCGTAAACTTATAAAAAAAATGAATTCATATTAGTCAGATATCGGATTTTAAAATGCGATTTGACAACACCACAGTTGTTTAATTACATGTTAAAATTTTACAATGTCTTCAGGGTATTTCGCCACTTCTAGTGGCGGAATTACTTATAGCTTTTGCTATGTTTTAGTTGTATGAGCTTTTTTTTATGAAAAAGCTCTGAGAAAGAAATATTTGCCATGGAATGTATAAAGTGCATGATTTGTGGAATTTACAAATAAAAATAAAATTTGATCTTTAATGTTAGACGTTATTTATTTATATTGCGATTTAAAACATTTCCGGCGAATTTAAATATTTAACAACGCATCAATCACGATTGGCTGTCATCAATATTTATATTTTCGGCGTACACCAAAGAAATGGTGCGATATACTCGTATTGTAGGTACTGCAATCTCACTCGAGTTTGCCTATTTGTATTTATTAAAAATCAAACGATATTTGACATAGTAAACAAAGTTACCTAGA